AAAAAATTGTCCGGCCAGAGCAAAAGCACCACATACGTCACTCTTACGTCGAGGTGGGGCAGGGGCGGGATCAACTCCTGAACAACAACAAAAAGCCGGCGTTTTATCCAGTTTGTACACAACGATGGAGAAACTTAACAAGCAGCAGTGGTCCACTGAAGAGACCTACCTACTGGGAATCTGGTCTTCCGAAGAGGTACAGAGGAAGCTGGAGCACAATCGGCCATTGTTGTTGTTGTTGTCGGTGTCAGCTGTGAAGGGTTTCCCCGCGGTTTGGCTTTATGAAGCAGGCACGCAAACGGTTACGTCATGACGCAAACGATGACGCAATGACGCAGCACCAGTCGGACTCTGGGCAGTGTGAAAAAAGCCGGAACTAAACCGAAGAACCGGTTCTGAACCTGAAAAGCTCTAGCACGGAGCTTGAACCGGAGTTGCGTTGGTGTGAATGAGGTATTAGTAGCTAACATTCCATATTATACTCTGAATATTTGTACATGTCTACTTAATTCCATGGTGCCTGAATTTGACAAATTAAACACGGCTATTGTGCACTTACTTTAAAGGTCCCATGTCATACTTTCCCGGTTATTACCCGTCCCCTTGTGTGTTATGAAGGTTTGTATGCATGTAAACGGTCTGCAAAGTCACAAACCCTCAAAGTACACCCTGTAGCGAGTAAAACTCTAACACAGAAAAGACCTGTCTATGCTTTCCCAGAACGCCTCGTTTTTCTTCCTGAGTATGGTGACGTAACCATGCCCAGGTCCAAATGGACCAATCCGTGGAGCTCCTCACACACACAGACTCACTCAGCCTTATCTTTTCTCAGCTGCGGCTCCGCGGATTTCTCAGCCTGAACTCAGCCTGAGCACACACACAAACTCACAGCCAGGCTACGAGTGTGTGTGTGTGCTCAGGCTGAGTTCAGGTGAGTTTCGCGATGTCTCGCGTTATCGCAGACCCCAAACAGTAACCAGGAAACGACCCCAGTAATCCAGCTCACACTGTCTGCAGCAGCGAGCCCCCGCAACGTCCCGCCAACACGGCACCCACACCCCACGCAGCATTCTCATCTCTTTGTCATTACTGGTGTCATTTTCTGGTTGCTAACAAACGCCATTGTAACACATAATCACTGATGTTCCGCTGTAACGGTGGTTGACTCATCAGAACAAAGTGGGCGAGCTGACCAATCAGAACACAGTGGGCTCATAGGGAGGGGGGGGGGTTGGAGCTCCAACAAGCCGTTTAGGACAGAGAGTGAATACACATACTATGAGATGCTGTATGAGAAACCAATGTGAGTTTGGAACATTGAACAATGTAAATCTATTCTAGTAGACCTCAACAATGGAATTATGATCAGTAGAAATTGCCATGTCATGGGACCTTTAACATAGCCACAGTAAGCATAAGCGTCATCTTTCACAGTACCAAATCATTACAGACAAATAGAAAACATTCTGATAGCATCTATTCAACAACAAAATGGTAGTACTTGGTGAAAAACATACACCTGACTATCTTACATTTATATATGGTGTTCACTGGAAAAACAGCAACTACATGCTAGTACTGGATTTGTAAAACTTAACAACAAGGCTAAGGGACTCACCGTCCAACATGCAGTCATAACCTTAACCATTGAGCTACAGTGTTAAACATTTAAGACTGACTATCTAGCCGACAACCTAACCTGGACTTAAACAGTTGAGGTCAATGCCTAACCTTACATTTCTTGAAAGTTACCATAGACACGACTAGCAACCACTGCTATTCCCTCCCTATCTGCTACCTAGTCACTCAGCTATTGACTGTAGAACGTGTTCAGCTTTTCATACTATCAGGGTACTAGTAACACTTGATTATTAATATATACTGTACTTTTCAGTACTCAAATAGTGCAAGTAGCTTACTGAAGAACACAGAATTGGGACACAGCTTTAGTATTTTATTTATGTCTGATATCTCATCAGATGTGATGAGACAAAGGAACATTTTTTGAAAATGTAACAAGAAATTCAGCAGCCTTTCTGTTTATTTTGGTATCAGAAAACAATGATGGCTGCAGTTCACAGATACATTGCGCCGGTGTTTGTTGGTAAGAATGGCATACAGTGAGCACTGCCAAGATATTATTATGTGTGAGTGTGTGTGTCCTTGGATTTACAATGTCCAGACTGGGAACAATACATTGTTGAGGCAACAGTGTACAAAGCAGATCGAAAAGCATTCACTGTTTGGTTCTTATTGAATGCAATTGTCTTAATAAGTCTGTTTCTGCTTGCAGAGTTGTCTGTGTATATATGTCTTGGAAGTCCTTATAATAACTGTTTCAAAGACAGTGGGTTAAGAAGCAGGTTTAGGGCATTATGCGCATTGTGTAGAAAAGATGGAACAAAAGCCAAATAATATCTTCTATTGACACATGCCTTGAATTAAAGTAAGATAGAGGAAACCGCAGTGCCTAGGTTTAAAGCAATAACTTTACATTTTGTACTATTGTGATTATTTGCTGATTGACCGAGTTAGATGAGAAGATACGATACCATTCTCATGTATGACCTTTTCAATATGAAGCTAGAGCCATCAATGGGTTAGCTTGACATTGCACACAAAGACTGGAAATAGGAGGAAACAGCTGTTCAGGCTCTGTCCAAAAGATAACAAAAACCTACCTCACACCACCTTTAAAGCTCATGAACTAACACATTATGATGTGTTAGTTTATTCCACACAGAATTTAGCAATTTAACACACGATTTTAAAGCTTTTGTATAGACTGAACAAACACGATACAACTTGGTAATGTTACAATGTGTAAACAAGTCTGTGGCACATGATTCATTTATTTAGATATCTCTGGAGGGGCAATTTCAAGACAAGGTTAGAGTTTTGAAAGTACTTTTGGCAAAACAACTGCAAAGAGTATGGAAGCAAAATAATGCAACTGTGGTGCTTTTTGATCATGGTGTTATGGTACAACTGCCACCTTCTTGTACTGTAAATGCCAAAGAGACTGGTGTGTTGCGCATCTTTCTTTTACTTAGGTCTTTGACATCAAAAAGAAGAGATTGCCTCTGTTAAAATCCCAACAGTTTAGTGTGGTTCTAGTTTATGTTCATCGCTCACTTTTGACCCTTTTCAAGAAGTGAGGCAAAAAGCTTTGATGTCATTTATTTCAGTTTGAAACCCTATGAATTTAAAGTTTATGTTTTTTAGATTACATTCTGAATTAATATTTTACACAGTGCTGCTTTGATTATTTTATTAATGTTAAACATAAATTAGTTAGTTGGTAAATACCATTAGTTATAATATTAGGACATTTTGTAAGACAGCAGGCCTATATGAAATGTAGCTCAACTTTTGAAAGAAACTTTATAAGCAAGAACTTTTACTGGCATCATTAAGTTCTTTGACGATACTGTTGTCTCCTTTAGTAAAAAATGCCATTGAGAGCGCTGATGTTTCAGTGGGTCGAATAATAACTAACCTTTTTATCAATATTTTTGGCTAGGCTAACAGCTTCTCCTGCTTTCAGATGTATGCTAAGCTAACACAAAAGGAGCTACTGCCTCTGACACGCAAACATACAGTAGTGTCATCGTCGTTAGACTGCAAAAAACAAATTTCCCCAAAATGTATTTTTTATGTTTTCTTGATTTGATGGTAATACTTGGAAATAGGAATTTCAAATGTTCTCTAATTTGTGCAACATTCTGTTTGCCAGCATCAAAACATGAGTCACTGAAAACAATTACTGAAATGTTGGCTACATCATGAATAATACATTCCTGAATGAGTTATTTACTGCAAATGTTACCTTTGTGCCTTAGGGTATGTCAAAAGCGCTGACATCTGTACACACTTTACACATCTCTCCCTTTGGGTGTGAGCCATAACACAAAATCACTGAGTATGAAATTATGCTTTAAATATTTACTGATATATAATTTATTAAATGTCCTGTTTCAGTTAAATCTGGGCTATTTTTTCGACATACTCGTTGAAAATCACGACAATCTTTATCTCTTGCTTTGTATGAGCAATGCCTCCAAGAAGAGCTTTCTGGAACAAAATTGAACTGTAACTTTTAACATTCACTCACAATAGTAAGCTTTTTATTTGTATACGGACATTAAATTCAGTTCTTTATAAATTTGCCTGCAATTCAGTTTATTTACATTTAAGTTCTGCCCTTAAATAATTCTGAAGATTATTGTATGCTTAGATCAGTAAAACATTTCTCTGCACAACACTACATTTAATATCGTAGAAAAAAATGCATTGAGATGATAAAGGTTCACATAAATACTGCTGAGGAGAGATATTAAGCTTTCTGATTAATGCTCATCATTTGGAATTATTTCCAGAGAGAAAGCTTCATTTCAGGGCTTTTTACAACAAATGCAGCACGACTCTGCATTTCATCTGAAATTGACCTCTGACATTGGGATTGAATACAATACACAATGTTGCCAGTTTCCTAGATAAATACAGCCCCTCATATGTTCCCACCAAAGGGACTCTTTTTGTAAAATTGTACTGCTTTTCTGCACCATTGTCCCCTCTCTCTCTTATGACTCCTAACACCAAGTATCTTTTTCTGACTTGCTGCCCTTTCGCCCACATATAATTACAAACACATCTGTTTCTATGACCCATTGAGGGCTTGAACTTCCTGTACTGATGGGAAAACACACATACTGTAAATAAACATAAGCACACTACTGAGACCCTGAACCCACACAAACTAAGAATTGAAATCTCAAAAATACATTCACATATGTCTCTCAGTTGAGGAACTCAAACAGCTGCTAGCATGTATACTTTAGTTTGTGTATGTTCATACTATATATATAAAGAATACTTTTGTTCTTTGTGAGAACCACAGTTTCGGAACAAATAGCAGCTCTTTACATGCAGTACTATATGGTAATCTAGTGTAAATATGTCCAATAACTGTATTATTCTTGTTTTTGTTTATCTTTTAGAAACATGTGGAGGACTCTAATACTATCACTGGTTGTTGCATTGACATTGGGCACAGAGGTGAGTGCAACAATGTGTTTCATTGATGGATTGCATTGTACTGTATATCTACACACCATCATTTTTGTGATATGGATTGTCTAATCCGAGAGGTTTGTTTAATTTCTTTCCCCCTTCATTTGTGGGTTGTTTAAGGGAGTTTTTCTGTGTTTTCCAAGGGTCTCAGGACTCAGTATGTATGCTATACAGTAGGGCTGTGCGATTATGGCAAAAATCATAATCACGATTATTTGGTCAATAATTGATATCACGATTATTTTGACGATTATTCATTGACCATTTATTGAACTTTAAAACAAATAATATTTTACCAATAAACAAGATCAATAAATGTGTTGGAGCGCACTTCCAAAACCATACTAAACATATATTAATATGATAAATAAAAATAAATTAGACCCAAATAAATGAAATCAAATATGTTGCAGTGCACTGTCACAACCTACTGAAAACTCCTTAACATATAGCCAACATTTTGGTAAAACATATTCAACATATTCCACTCAGTTAAACGTTGAAGGCTGGCCAACCGTCATGGTCCAGAAGTAACAGGAAATAAATGTTGAACTACAATTTAAGACCAAATAAAAATGTTTTGGCCACCATGGCAAATGCTGGTAGGGCTGCTCATGTCATCTCTTAAAGATTTTTTGCAAGAAATACCAGGCTGTTTACATGGTCTGGTTTCAGAGATGAGCGCAGGCAGGTGACAATATTGCCACCTGTACTGAAGACCCTCTCTGAAGAGGAACTTGTGGCAGTGCTGCCACATATGACACAGGAAAAAAAGAAAAGACTCTGAAGAACCCTTTCTTTGCCATTATATAAAAATAGTGTTGCTACAAAAGTATAAATTAGGCTTACTAATAAGACAACTCAGATCTGAAGCTACACAGTAATCTGCAGCAACAGTGCAATAAAAAAGACAACATTAATAGAATCAAACCCATTTTTTGTTGCATTTTATTAGAGTATAAAAAGAAATGCCTTTAAAATAGGATGCAAGCAACACTAGTTTCTGAACTGATAGACTATAATCAATTTAAACAGAACAGATCTTAATGTTTGCATTCTTATACCATTTTGTACAATAATTATCATGAATAAATTCAAACAAACTAAAACTTACAGCAGATTAATAACGGTATTTAAATTTAGTTTTTATTATATCAAAAACCTGTTGAAATGCTGCTGTTATTTTTACTGTCCCACAAAAGCGCGTCGCAGCCTCCAGGAATGCTTCTTTCACAACTTCGCCGTCTTCGAAAGACTTCATGTATTTCTCAAGAACGTGACTGACACGATAAGATGCTCTGGTAGCAGCCTTGCTCTTGTTGTTGGGCCTGGTGAAAATGGACTGCTGTGCATTTAGCTGTCCTTTCAGGCCCCTCCCCTTTTGGGAGCGTAGGGCAGAATTAGGAGGGAATTCCGTCTCGTAGCGTTTGTGCACTGTTTTGAAATGCCGCTCCTAAATTACCCTTCTTCGATAAAGCCACGCTCGCATTGCAGATGAGAGACAGATGGACTTTGAATTGGAATAGATACAAAAATAATGATCCTCCCACTCGGAGTGAAAATTATATATTTTGGGCTTTTTTGCTTCTGCCATAATTGCGGTCTTGTGTGCGTGCGGACTGTCACTCCTGTTGACCATCCATGCTGTTGACACGGACAACGTCAGCAAACTAGTGCACTGCTCACCAGCCACGCCCGGACACATGGGGTGAGGCCGGCCAATCACAAAGCTTTGATGCGTTCAAGTGCATTATTCTGGCACGGGAACATTATGTTACAGGACATTAACGATAACACAGAATATTGTTGTTCTATTTTTAGACACATCTCGCGATCGACTGGGAATCTCCCCGCGACCCTTCTTTTTAACTAGTTGCTGCTCTTGTTCTGACATCTTCGCTTGCGCTGAACACTCACAACACATGTCACTCCCACGTGGCCGAGTGGGCTTTTAGGGAGGGGCGAAAGCGCACCCAGCAAAATAATCGTATTTTGTCAATTATGCTGTTTTCCTAATCGTCGCAAGCCATAATCGTAATCGCGATTAAAATACGATTAATTGCACAGCCCTACTATACAGTCTGTTCAGCCCCCTGAGACAAATGTGTCATTTTTTATATTGGGCTACATAAATAGGTTGATTGGCCTTCACCTGCAAAATGTTGCTTGAAGAGTAATGTATCACCCAGAAAGGGACAACAAAATGACCACAAAGGTACTAAAAGTGGTTTCAAAGAAGTGCAAAACAGCTGCAATGAGACCCAAATACACTCACAGCTACTATGAGAAGGGGCAAAACAACCACACAAATACCCAAAGTAACTTCAAAGAGACACAAATCAACTACACAGAGACACAAGATGGGTAAAAACGAAATACCATAGTGTCTCTTGCTCCAATAGGAGAGCTGGCGGGACCTTTCGCATGTCTTCTACCCATTGTCTCATAATCTGCAAATGACTGTCTGTGTGTAATAAGAAATATTATGTTTATCATTCCTAAATCTCTTGTGTCAATGTGACATTCAATGTGTGATTGTTTTCCCAGGTGTCCCAGTCTGAGGATGTGGCGACCATCGCGAATGATTCGGAGGTGCAGCAGGACAAATTCAGCGACATTTCCACCGTACTGGGAAAGTCCCGACATCAGATCCTGGCTGCTCAGTTCGAGTGCTACCTGAAGATAATCCATGACCCACTAAGCACAGAAGAAGGTACCTATTGTTCTGATAAATCACAGTGCAGCTGATAACAGCCGTCCAAATGGAAGGAAGATCTTTTGGGATCAACACATTTTTTCTTCTGGCGGATGGCAGATAAATGTTGATGACAATATTTTGCATCCGAGTTGCAGGATATCCTTTTATTCATTGTGCTTAGATCGTCTTGCCATTTATCCCATGGGCTATTATTCTCGCACCATTTTCGTGCTTAGATCGACAAAAAAAAAAATGGATACAATGGAGAAAATAACATTCTTTTGAAAGAAAAAACTTCTCAGAAAAATTAGTAAGTCTACTACAGTAAATTACAGCTTACCATTATCAGCAATATTTCGAAATGCTAGAAATCTATGAATTGTGGTCGGTTCAGCACTTTGGACCAGACTTAAATATCTCAATAATGTTGGATTGACTGTCATTAAAATGTTAAAACAGACAGTCATAGTCCTCAGAGGATGGATCCTACTGACTTTGGTAATAACCTCATATTGGTGGATTCTCAACAAATCTGGTAGATCCATTTAAGTTCTCCTCATGATACATTTGAATGACTTTGGTCATCTCTAAGTTTTCATATAGCGCCATTGTCAGGTCACAATGTTTTTATGTCCAATCCTTTGACTTTGGTTTACTTGCAAAACTATTGACATTCCCATCAGCCCTATCTGTGATTGTGCTAATTAGCTAATGTTAGCTTGCTTATATGCTAAACAAAGATGGTGAACATTATTGGTGCAGTAATGAGTCCTAAAAAACCCAGAAAAGAAAAATCCAGGTCCCTCATCTCAAAGTCAATGTTTTTTTGTGTTTAGAAGCCTGAAATAAGGTAGTTAAAACGAGCTGAAGAGTTTGGCACGTTGGTTCTACGACATAAAATACGCCAGCAGGAAAATCCACTCGTGAATGTCCAAAGCTTCTATGTGTCAAAAAACCAGCCGTTGCTAACGAGTAACCAAATGAACTACTAAATGTCATCATCCCAACACAAGTTCACTTTTAATTTAGCGGTGGTTATACGCAGCCATGCTACCAGGTCATTTATAGCCTAGCGTTAGCTTTTTGTTTCTGCTAATTGCATTTAGGCTTAAAAAATCACAGAGTGCTGTCAAAGTGTGGAGATTACCCTGCCAAACAAAACGTGTTAATTATCATAAACATGTGGTAGCCACAAAGCTAATTATCCGTAATACCAAAATCCAGTAGACAAAATCACATAGCTTTTACCCCAGCGAGGCTGGCCTACAAAACACGTCCTCACTGCACCACTCAATGCCTGCTAAACATTATCATGTCAAATGATTTTGATGCTCTTAGTCATTGTTGAAAAAAATAAATGAGAAATTCCTGGTGAAATTGGTGCAGTATATGGTTCTTTGCCAAACTCCCTTTTGGTACCAGGGTTTTTTCTTCATTTGTTTTCCCACTACATATAGCCTCTCAGTATAGGCGGAAGAGCTCAGGTTTTTCCCATATCGTTGCAGTTTGAAAATGCAGTAACATCACCTTCAACGCCAGACACGCACTAGTTAAAATGTATGGATTAGATTTGCGGGCTGACATTTTTTAAAAATCTGGGTTGATTGGATAAAATATGTGGTCGCTTTGGCAATCTGTGTATTTTAATAAAACCAATGTCCAAAATGTAAATTCTCAATCTGAGCTTTAGTGGTAGTGCCTCATATATTCGACTGGATTAAAATAATAGCTTCATAGATACCCTTTAGGTCACTTTATTCCATAGGTTTAACATTGCATTTCAGATGTATTTGCAGCTGAACTATAGTAAACCAACTTGTGAGTTCTCAAACCTTCATTTTAAATAGCTTTTAGGCGCTTTTCTCTTCCTTTCAGCTTAATATTCAGTGAGGTACATTTCCCACAAACATGCAGATATAGATCTATGTATTACTGGTTGTCCTAACTACTCAACATTTCAGAGAGAGAGAGAGACAGGAAGTGAGTATGAAAGAAAGGAAACGTGCCCTTTGTCTCTTTCCCAGTGCCTGTTACTCGCGCTCAGTGCTTCACTGCCTTTGAAATGTTATTATGTGCTCCGTTTCCCAGCATGCCACAGTACAACCTGGTATCGTCAGGTTTCCGTCTATTGTTGACACGCTTGGTGCGGGCCAGCTTCAGTTGGAGACATCATTTTTTACGAACACACCAATTATGTGGAATAGATCATTTATGTGATTCATTCTGCGATGGGAGTTTATTAATAATGTATGTTTCTTACCTTTATGATCCTCTGTGGACATGTCAGCCACTGACAGCATTCATCATACAGTTATAGTTTATGGGTTAGTGTTATATGTATAATACATTACAGTACACTTTGTTTTTTTACTAGGCCGTTTCTCCAATGCTTTGTTTGAAATGTATTGCAAACCTTTTTCTTTGATATCTACAATTAATCCAGTACAAGTAAGCCAGGAGTGGCTGGATCAAGTTAGCTACCTAGCTAGTAGCTAGCACATTAGTTAGCATTACAGCCTTGTCATTTTTATTAGCCTTAATATGAAGTAACATTAAGTAACCCAAAATGTTAAACAGTAAGAGTCATATTTCGTGAACCCTTTGAAGAGTACTGTCACCGGTGTGATCATACACAATTTAAGCCCGGGGGAGAAATGCTAACGCTAGCATCGGCAATCGCCGATCTTTTCTACTTCATGCTATCTGCAAAATGGTTGACATTAAACATTAAAAAGACCAGGCAGTTCAGAGAGAATCAAAGGAAGGCAGGCAGCTTTGCATGACATTCTTCTGGACGTGTTTCATTGTGGTGATAGTGAGGGTAGTTAATCGTTTTGTTGACAAGACAGTAGTGACGGCCATCTTGGTGACGTGTGTTGTTCTGCGAGACCAGAGATGTAGTTCATTGAGCGTTTCACACAAACAAATGTGTTACTTCACAGTTTTACGACACTACCCATAATCCTCAGCTATCGTTTGGGACTACAACATCCACTTTGCTTGACAAACCCCGTGATTATTCCTCAAGCTCTGTGATTGGATGTTGGAGTGGCAGTGCGCCAAGGTTACGCCGAGCTTCAAACAGATCTTTGTAATGGAATGGTACCACGGCAGACTATCCAAAACTGGACTTGAACGGGTCCAGCCCCACCCCCCAGTTGCTAATTGTGTTTCGCAACATGTTCTATGGCACGTCTCTACTGGGAATTGTAGTTTTAAAAGACGTTTTCATATTTCCCATAATTAGAAGTTGCCAGTATTAAACTGTGTACATCCCTGGAGGTTTAGGGGATAGGAAACACTCAAATGTAAAACATATAATTAATAAATGGCTGAAAATTGCTTGTGTCCATAATGGGCAGCATTAATATATACCCAGATGACAGCTAAGGTCAGAAGAGCTTTATTTAATAGCTGGTCTTATGTCTGTGACCCCTCCTGTTGTTAATTGATTTGAGTATTGGTTATACTTTATGAAGATGTTACAAATAACACACAGCAGACAATGCCATAATAACTTTGTATTATTAGTGTAGGACACTTATGTATGTATAACATCTGAAGATGTGTAGTTTTATTCATATTTTCACATAATTTTACAGGATATTGCTATATTATTTCACATATTGTAGTTCTACACATTAATATCTGAGGTATATCCGTCATTTAACGGTAAGCTATTGAAATTGTGATTCCATAGATGTGTCTCCCATCACCCAAAACCCCTGACTATTCTCTCAACTCAGTATTTACATTCTTTTATTCAAAGAAAATCAGTAATATCTAAAAACTACAAGTCCCTTTCTATCAGCTGTGCACCGTTATGGGGTAAATACAGCCTATTTACCCATTGGATCAAATATAAAAGTCAGCCGAATGAATGTTGATACTGCAAGGAGACGCATTGTGTGAAGAGAAATTGAAGATGTTGTTTAATTGCTGATATATTTATGATCCACGTCACATATTCAGTTTTGGCGGCATTTCTTCCAGTTTGTCCAAAGGTCTTCTAATCAGGGCTCTATAAAGAGAACTACGGCAGATGTGTAATATGTAATGCAGCCGAACCGTGTATTACAATGCCGTTATGTGATGACTTTCAAAGAGAAAAGCAAGCACACTCGGAATAAAGTATCATTTCCTTTTTTTCTTTATATGTTTTCGGATTTCACATCGCATAAACACCATATCCCAACGTGCATTGCGGCTAAAACATCCAATCACCGAGCTTCAACGATAGCTGAGGATTATGGGTAGTTCGATGTTTTAGCATCAAAACCTCTGAAAAAAGAAATGTGTCTCTCAGAATTGAAAGGGAAAAACCTATGGGAAAAACACAAAAGCATTGTACACAAGTTAAACCAATTAATGTTGTGTAATTTACAAGGATAAACTGATGTGTTTTAGTGGATGAGTATCGCAGATGTCACTGTGAAATCATTTGACAGTGAGGGGAATACTTACGGTTTTATTATGAAAACTTCGAGACCGGAAATACTGTTTTCACCCGGTGAGGGTTGACGCTGGCGAGACCTCAAATAATCTTCGTAATATCTATCAAACTATAGATCCTACACATCCACTGGACGTGGAGTAGGGCTGCTAATCGTATTTGAATTGCGATTACGATTATGGCTTGCAACGATTACGAAAACAACGCAATCAAAAATGTTTATTATTATTATTACTTTTTTTTTTTAGTTGAATTATACTTAAGGTTCAGGGTAATCAACTGTTAAAAACATACTGTTCAAATATTTTTTTTCCAATAAATTCATGTTTTCAAAGTAAATGGACATTCGTTTTTAATAATCGTGATATCAATTATTGACCCAAATAATCGAGATTATGATTTTTGCCTTAATCGAGCAGCCCTAACGTGGAGTCTAAAAGTACAATATACACTTCTCGCTAGAAATCTAATCAAAAAGCATTTTAATGGCCAAACTATTCTACAATTTAGGATTTTCCAGAGAGGGTTATTTGTGAATATACGACCCTCCGGAGCGTTTGCAATTGCCGCAAATTGTTGTTTCTTACACGACCACTAGAGGTGCTAAACTTTAAAACGTGACTATAGGTCGTAATAAGCTGCTGAACAATCGACCTATTTGGTCGTATGAGTTGGAGGACATGTTGTTAGTTTAGCTTAAGCAGGGATATTTGAACTCAGTGGGTAAATAGACAAACAGCTCCAAAATGTCCAACTTCAACAAAAATGCAAGACTTTATAGAAAATGTTTAATGTGCTAATAATGACATAATGAATTTAGCATTAGAAATGGAGACACTGTTTGATAAACAAACAGTTGCAAAATGAATGATTATTATCTAAATTCTGATCTTGTAGCAAGCAGTATTATATTAAAATCTCATTAAAAAAAATAATTCATAAACAAACGCATCTAGTGTTCTCTGTTAGTTCAATGTCATGTCCACACCGCCCTCTGCAGGCAGTTTCTGTAACCGGACGTGGGACGGCTGGCTGTGCTGGGGGGACTCCACTCAAGGGACCGTCATGCAGATGTGTCCGGAGTACTTCCTGGATTTTGACCCTGCTGGTGAGGACACAAACAAAAATACATACAAGCTCAGGCACAACTGGTTATGATTTTGTGTGTTGTGTCTCATGTTTGTTTGTGTTGAAATGTAAATTGACTACTAGGGTTGGGGGGAAAATGATTCATGCAATAATAGAGATTCTTATCTACAAAGATGCCGATTTTTAAAAAGGTTTTTCTATTTACAAAAGAGGCTAGATGATCAAAATAAATCATACATACCAGGTCGAAAAGGTGTGTCAAGGACGCTATTATTGTGTGATCTGGGGCAAAATCCCACATATTATTAAAAAAATTGCCAAAGCCTACGAATGTATTAATCAGCATTTACATTTTTTGCAGTTCTTTCCCAATGTTTGCCTTTGTGTGTTTACATTATTACAATAATTTGATGTAATACAGTTCAGTACAGTTTCTTGAAAACTTTTGACTGTTTGTATAATTGCAATGTGAATGGTCCCTATTATGCAGAGAAGGTTACCAAGGTGTGTAATCCGGGGGGCCAGTGGTTCCACCACCCAGAGAGCAACAGAGTTTGGACCAACTACACCCAGTGTCAGGCCCACACCAAAGACAAACTCAAGGTAAAACACAAGAGAGTGAAACTCCACAATGTGCAGATAGGTAGAAGAATAAAATAGGGAATCAAATCACTAAGGTAGTCCGAAATATTTCACTTAAATAATCAAATATTGGATCTGAAATGTAAAATTGAGAGATTAAGCAAACATATAAGAGCGATCATCCCATGTACTAAGGCTCAGATAATGGCCCTGCAAACAACTATGATACACATTTTTTTTTTAATGAATAAGCAAACATTTCGGTACAAGACTAATTTTAACATATTATAATCGAAGAGTATATTACAGTGGTGATATTGACATGTTTTCTTTAATTTTATAATGAATCTTAACATTAAGTGCAAGATTATTTGCTGATTATCGCTACTTTTACAGTGTAGATTTGCACTGAACCCTATGGTGTGAAAGGTTAAAGGACACTGCAACAGGGCACCCTTTTGCTGGCATGATGTGGAAATGTAATGTGAACCGACTACAGGAAACATCCCCAGAAGGGTTAGTGACATACGCTGATATCGGATCGTCACAAGTCATGGGGGCTCGGACAGCTGAGCATAACAACATGAAGTGCAGTCTTACATTTCTGACATGCGTGCTCTGAGCTGAACACTGGAGACTGGAAAGGTTTGACAGTCTCCAAACTGTCAAAATCTCAGTAGGATTAAAGGTTAGCGTGTGACTTTAATTTGCATGCCCTGATACGGTGGTGTCAGAAATCCGAATACTTTATTTTGCTAGGGGGAAATTGGATTTTGTGCTCCATTTTAGAATAAAATATATATATATACTGTATATTCAACATGACAAGTTCAAGTTAGGATATGCAATAAAAAGATAAAATAAATAGAATAAAGATGTTAATACAAACATTAATAAAGTTAAATGACCATTAAAAGACATTAAAATACAAAAACTTTTTATATAAACATAAGAAGTTCAATACTAAATATACAGAATCTAAAATAAAAAAATAAAATACAATACAATAAATACCATCTTTAAACAAGTGTAATTAAAATACTTCTGTTACTATTTAAATGTTTAACGATGTTATACTCTTTTTGTTCTATGTGGGCTTGCACATTGCTTCTTACACAAGGGGGTCTCAAGGCTGTCAAACATCTGTCCGGTTCTGAGCATCTGTCCGGTTAAAAAAATTGCCATTTCAAAAAGAAAATTGCTATTCCTTATCGCCCATAGGGAGCTGTGCTGTACTGAGAAGAGTAGCAAGTGCTCTTACCCGATTACCATACTGTTCATGCAGGAGCCGGCAGTGGAACTGTCTTTGTCGTATATAAAGTGTAGGTTTTCAGAGAAAACTCCTGGTTCATGTCTATCAAATATGTGTATACTTCCGACATGTACTGATGGGTTATAATTCAGAAAGACAGGCGAGACAGTCCTTCTTCACATGTTTTAAAAAATATAAATAAAGGTAGGCATTCTACGAAGGTCGACTCAATTGTATGTGCTTCAGATCTTGTAAATGGTACACTTTTCTATGCTGTAGCATCAAAAACAAGGGTTGTTGGGTATGAGCAACATTACTAATGTGAGTGGAGAGGCTGGTGAAACTACAAATGAATCTTACCTAATTGAAATATTGCCCTCAAATATATTTGAAATCCTTGAAAAGGATCACATTTGGAAGTGCAACATGACTATAAGCATCGCAGGAAAACTCCTCAAACTCTGTCGCAGAAAGGGAGCATCTTGCCCATCTTAATTTATTCCCCCGCCTTTACAACAATGGAATTTAAACTCATAATTTAACATGGAAAGTTCTATCTCCGTGGACTTGTGATTTAAATGTAAATGCAAGAATCTTGCTCGTCCGATTTACAATGTACGATTAATCATTGTAAATCACCTCATGTCTACACACTTGAGTTTAACATGCATGTCATTGAGGATTTGTTCCCAGCCCTGCACTTCCATATTTATGCATGAACGGTCTTCACAAAGTCATTTATATGCCTTGGCATTTGGAAAACAACATTATGATTATTTTTGTATGTGTCTAAATTCATGGCCTTTGGGAATCCTTCTGAATTTCTCCAAAAGGCTCATATTTTCTTTACAGATGTTTTCCTTCATGTTTCAAATGGCCTTTTGATGATATACAGTATAGATGTAGAGGATGCAAACACGGATTCTCTCCTGAACTTTAAACATTCCTAATAATTTGTGAATTTTGTATCTTCATGAATTTGCTTGTCCCTGCAGTTTGCCATCAGTCTGTACTACCTGGCCATGGTGGGTCACGGCCTGTCCATCGTCTCTCTGATCATCTGTCTCATCATCTTCTCCTACTTCAAGTGAGTCATAACCTTTATTACAGTGGCAGTTTGTGTACGATGGCTGAGAAATGTTTGAAATGTGCCTGGAGTTCAGTCAAAATGTGAGGATAAGGAGGAAGAGTGCCGACTTTTAATTATGGTTTTAAGCAGCTTAGTGGCTGCTACTTCTTCACAGAGGTGTGTGTGGTTGTAGAGTGAGGAGGAGAGGGAGGGACTGCGACATGAACAGAAACAGATTTCATCCAAAGTTTCAATATCAAGGGCTGCTTTTAGCTTTCAGTACCTTTTTACAAGACTCTCGCTATCACCATATTGTAACAAATGACGATCCAGAGACTCTTCTTAGGTCGGATTGCAAAAATTACGACTTCTGTCTCATTTAGGACTACAAATAAAAGTTGCCCATATCAGAATTTAAAAGATTGAATGTGACTTATCCTGTGCAATTGTATGAAAGTAAATTGGTTTGGGCCACTGTGAATGTATAGCCTTACATAATGCACATTTTCCAAAAGGCGTTTCCATCCTGTGACATTCTAATGAATCTAAAACAATTTTGGGTTACATTTTGTGGATTTTTAGGGCAGGTATGGTTTGACCTATTGCAATTTCGGTACAATGTTTTTGTTAGCAGCCTTTAAAAATGAATCCTCCACTAACTGTTTACTTACTGTTTTTCTCTTCCAGGAGTCTGAGCTGCCAGAGAATCTCCCTCCACAAGAGCATGTTCCTCTCCTTCATCCTGAACTCCATCGTTACCATCATGTGGCTCTCGCTCACTGTGGCCAATAACCAGGCCATAACCGCCAGCAACCCTGTGAGCTACTGAATCTATATTTCATCCCATTAAACGAATGAATTTCACTTCACAGGCCTAATTGTCCCATATTAACAGAAATGACCCATACTTAACTCACAGCTATCAAACTGTGGGTGCTTTTCCGTCTGGAATTCTTATTTAATTATGCTTTTTATTCCTTCTAACATATTTTAAGACTTCCGGTTTCCTGTCCACAGGTGAGCTGTAAGGTCCTGGCTGTCCTGACTCAGTATACATCCACCTCCAACTATTTCTGGATGTTGTGTGAGGGCATCTACCTGCACACACTCATCATAGTGGCCGTCTTCGTAGGGGAACAGCAGCTCTTCTGGTACTACGTCCTGGGATGGGGTGAGTCTGGAGGATGTGATATTTAATTACCCTTTCCCAACAATTTCAGCGCAAGCATGTCTATGGCAAACAACTGTGATTTTTCGAGAGGTCGGTATCTTCGACTAGAGGGGTGGATGCGGTGAATCAAAAACAGCAAGCAATGATTTCCAACCTTATCTGGTATATTTCAGTCTTCTCATAACCATAGAACTTAGATCAATACTAATAAACAAACCAGAAGACTATTGTAACTCAGGACGCTTGCTGACTGCTATATAAAGTTACTAAAAACACTCCTTCTCTTTTTGCATCTCAACATTTGCATTTACTATACTGTGTATTTATATTAGGAGATATGATCCTTGGAGACCTTCTCTAACTTAAACTGAAAATAAAACTATAAAAAATTATTGAAAATAAATGGTTGTAAATGAATACTTTCCTAGAAGTGCTGAAACTAAGCACATAGTTTTGCCTGGTTTAAAAAACAAATGGGTATAACATATGTTTATCTGTTTTTGTTCTAATATGTCCCTACCAAAATAAGGAGACATCATCACTTTCTGTCAACGAGAGAAATGAAAGCGACTTGACGTTCCAGGAGATGGCGCAATGCTTCAATGGTTTCAGAATAAATCCCTATTTTTCTATGCAGTCTAGTAAAACAGTATTAAATAACAACATTGTAGTTAGATCAAATGCCATTTAACCAGAATTAGTTGAGGTCCATTGTTAACAAACTAGGTTCATTTTGTGGTAGTGAGAAGGACTCAAGAGGACTGGAAGATATCTCTCAAACCAAAATGTTAAAACAGTCAGGAATCTCCTACACAGTTCTCCAACCATAACTTTAACTTCCAACTCCAAAACTTTAATAACCTGGGTCTACAAAGATATAGCATGTATATTTATCTTTTACTTTAATTCTAAAATATAGCCTAACTAACCATCCCAAAAACCAAAGTCTGCTTTGATAAATCAAGTATTCTGATTATGTTTAAGTATAAAAGTGCATGAGCATTTGCTACCAGGAAATCACAAGACAAATTCAAAGGGACTGCATCAATACATTCAATAACAGTTGCATTGTGTGGCTGCTTTATAATATTACGCTTAAGCTCATAATACCTTTTGAGCTACACTCCAAGTGAGGAGTTGCTGTGTTGTCCTCAGTAGACACTGTTCTCAAGGTTAACAGTCCTGTAATTCAAGGGCCAAAACAGTCATTTACTCTTAAGTACACCTGAAAATATGAGAGCCTCTCTGATTTGAGACTATACCCTGTTCTTGAATTATTTTCCTACACTGAGAACATCCCATTCCCACCATCATTTAATACATTAAAGTCACCTTGAAGCTTGGATGAACCTGTGCTTTTCATTTTGCTCTCTCATCTAGCTCTTATGTATTAGTAATGGATTATTTTATGTCTCTCTGAGGCTCACAGCTTTTTATATCTTTGCGCTAAAGCGTGCCAGTAATGAGAATATTACATGTCCTACTTACGTGCAATGGAGGATTCAGAACCTTTACTTAAGTAAAAGTAATGAAAGCTCCCAAAAATAAAAGCCCTGGATTGAACTTGTTACCTAGAGTGGCGACTAGTCATTAGTGTCAGCAGAAAGTATTAAAAAAATAATTACAAAAAAATGCAAACAAATGCAAAATGCATACATCTTAAAATATATTTTACGATCATCTGATTTGTCTCTACATTGCTGTTTTAGTCTGTGTTCTTCTAATTAGTGTCTACCTGTCTGCCTATTGAGCCGTTTTGAGCGACGTGGGTCAAGCCCCGATCAAGCCCTTCTCTCTCACTGTCTAATGGGTGCTGTAAAAACTACACTGTGCATGCTCAGAGTTTTTTTCTATTCAATGTGTGTGGCAAAACAATCATCACCATAGGGGCACTGAGCTGCCATCCCCACCATACTCACATCATTCAGAGCTGATTGGCTGTAAGTATGTGTGCCGCGAAAAGTGTGGTGTGTGAAGAGGAGACGAGAGAGCTGCAGTGACGTGTCCTAAAACCAGGAAGTAAGCTGCGCATGGCTTCCCTCCACAAAAAAGCAATGAGATTTCTCCATAGGATTTTAGAAAATAGCTCAAAATAAGATCTGTGGGAAACGTAGCTGTTAGATAAATGCACGTTTTGTTCAGCCGGATAATATCCACATGTCTACCCTACTTTTATAATTTTCGAATCATAAATCTATCGATTAGATTTATGATAGACTTTTGAAACTACAAGAAGATAAGGAGGACTTTTACAAAAAAGTAATAGAGATTTTTGTCCAGAAGGATAGGCAAATGGACTTCATCTTCAAGTGTGCCAAATGTTATGGAAAATGGGATCTTAAGAGAGAACAATCCAATATGTAAATGATCAAATTACATTTTTTGGGTATCCTTTTGTTGAACTGTCTGTTTAAAATTAATCGAAGAATCAGACTAAAAAGGCTTTTGAAAATAATACTATATTTTGATTTAGGTCAAAATATAATATTTGTAAACCTGAAGAGTCAGTGTCACCAGCCATGAACCTCACTGCACGTCACTGCAGAAGCTTATATAGACATCTAAGTGTTTTGTGCCCCACCACTGGTTACCTAAGTATAATCAGGAATAGTACTTAGTGCAGAAAAAGGATAATTGTGACTTCTACAATATATTATATTAATATTTTATAACTCCCGCATTTAGCAGGACAGCAGGACATTACTTTTTTAGTAAGTGGAGCTTATTTGTAATAACTATTTTACAGTAAGTAATGATTGTTTTTATTGTTAATTATTTGTTTGAGTAACACCATCATCATTTCCCAACATGACATCTTTACAATTTGTATTTTCTCTGTCAATTAAAATAAATTACAATTTTTTTTTATTACAAAAAACAGCAAATCTTCACTTTATCATGCTTTTTAATACGTTTTTCATATGTTCCGTATGCAAAGATTCTGATTCTTAAAGCACTGGTAACTTAGTAAAGTCAAGTAGAACAGTAAGGTGAAAAACATTTTCCTCTGGAACATAGTTGAGTAGAAGTATAAAGTTAAGAACAAAAGACTTGAGTATAATACAAATACCTCAAATGTGTACTGAAGTACAGTAATTGAGTTACGTCTGTGTTACTAACATAAAGCTAACCCTTAGCCTAGCTTAACAATAAAACACATTATATCGAGTTTGTAAAATAAAGTTCAGATTCAACAATACATAACTCTAACTATAACAACTTTAACTATAGCCTACTGCTGTTTTTATATGACTAAATAAATGACGTATAAGTTAGTGTTTGAGTTTGGATTTAACTAAGCTAAGCTAACAGCTTCATCTTTGACGGATATTTGTTATCAGCAAGATAGTTAATACGAATATTTCCCAAAATGTCAAACTATTTAAGTTTAGATAAAAAATATATATAAGTTTATACTGTTTTTATTTATATAAAGCCCACTTGTAACTTTCTAGGAGCATATTATGGTGCTGTATTACTTTTTACATCTCTCTAGTATACTTACTCTCTCTGTTCTTAGGTTTCCCGATCATTCCTGCCGTCACGTACGCTGTGGCTCGCGGTTTCTTCTTCAACGACAAGTGAGATGTAGCATGTTTATTTTTCTTCTATTGTCTCAAATGTGTCAGATCAAGGCCAGAAATGTTGCAGTGTGTTCTCACAGTGGCATAACTCTAGACTGGGATTTCTCCCTCTCCCCTTCCTGTGACGTTCTTATTCTCTGTTTGATCAGGATGATAGGATTTGTAAGATATTGATTTGCCTCATCAAGAGGAATTTGCGTAAACCCTTTGTTTGCTAAGTGTAGCAGTGATGACTAATGATTCAGGCTTTGAGAGCCCTTAGGTTTATTTGAGTCACTGTGCATGAGTAATTGTAATTTGTATTTGTTCCAGGTGTTGGATCAGCTCACACACACACCTGCTCTATATCATCCATGGGCCCATTCAGGCTGCACTACTAGTGAGTAATCAACACCAGAGATGGGGTCGTTACTAAAAAAAAGTAATATATTACATATTACTTTTTAAAAAAAAGTAATATATTACACTACTTCGTTACTCTCTACATAAAGTAAATCGTTACTTTACTCGTTACTTTACTCGTTACTTTACTCGTTACTTTACTCGCAGGGCCGGCCCGCCCCTCCCTGCAGGCAGATCACGCAGACTGCTAAAGTTTCAAATGTTCTCTTTAGTTCAGTTTCCATTGTCGCATAAGACTGATCCAGATCCTGAATGTTTTCTATCTCTGCTCACGCTGTTGCGTCGGCGTGTTCTCCTGCGTGTTGGCCATGTGTTGCACTGGAACCAGACTGGAGCACACCGCAAAGACTTCAGCCGTGCACGTACGAACTGCGCATGCGTGAGTGGCAATAACTCTCCTTACCAGCAGGCGGCGGTAGTGTGTATTCGTCATTCAAAACAGGCAACAACCGAAAGACAGAGAAGAAGAACAGACTACGTGATATAAACAAACAACAAATAGCTGTGCGTTAGCTTCACCTTAGCATGTGTTCTTTGCAGGTGTTTGTTGAGGTTTGATTATGACTGATTTTAGTAAGTAACGAAGTAACGCGTGTCGGGGAAATGTTAGTAACTGTAGTGTGATTACTGAATTATAAAAGTAGCGCGTTACACTACTCCGTTACCGGCAAACTAATACTATTACAGTAACGCGCTACAAAGTAACGCGTTACTTTAACCATGGTGACGTTACAAAGTTACAAAGTAACGCGTTACACCCGACTCTGATCAACACACATGGTAGCCTCTCTGTGCCTACAGTATTGTGTTATAAACACAATTATTATGCATTATGCCACTTGCCCTTAGCACCTTCAAATTATAGTTATACAACACTTTTAAACATTGAACGCTTTTTAACAATAATCACAACACATTATAAAGCATTTAAGAGTTGCTTATAAGGTCAAATATCATAAAACTTAATAATAGACTTTTTTTATATGCAAGGATCATAGTTGAATATAATTCCCATAGATGCAATACATTATATTCTTTGTATGTTGCATTTTAATGAAATTATAAATTACTGTTATTGGATTGGAATAATACAAAATATATAAAATATAGATATATAAGTATAGGCCGATATGTTATATGTAACAAGCTGTTTTTCAAAAATAAGTACATTAAAAAAACATGAAAATATCAGTGACTGACCAGAAACTATACATTGTTATTTTACTTTGCTGAAGCCATTATAAAATGATACATAATATGTTGTGATTATTGCTATAAAGCTCTATGAATATGTATCGATGCTTATTAAAATATATTTATATAGTGCTGCTATAAGCAGATTATATTGCAATACAAGTATGTTTATATAGTATTATAGACATGGGTGTCAATTGTATTATTATATTTTATATATAGACATACACGTACAGTACAAGTAAAATAAAATAATACATTCAAATCTATTCAGAGCAATGTTATATAATGTAAGGCTTACATCATTGCTATTTTCAGATTTAGTTTTGCGCTCTACACCCATTGCAGAATGATGATGAAAAGTACTCATTCAATATATATATATATATGAATGAGTACTTTTCCTTCAAAACGTTTGATGTAAATGCACCATGGTACAGATGCAAATGCACAGTCAATTCAGATCATTTATCAGTTACAATGCACTGCTTTTATTGCCATTCTTTATATTAATATGCCACTATGCAGACTATATTTGGTATTTGATGACTAAGTTACTTTGTAAAGGTAAAAGACTGGGGCAAAATATGTCATGAATGTGTAAAGTTGTCTTTTTGCCTTTAAATGGTTTAACTATTGCCAGGTAATTGACAACAAAGTTGATGTTTTAGTGCCACCATCAGGCAAATCAATGCCATTTTTTCCCCCTTCAAAAGTCAAATCACACTAGATTTAAATATTTGTCTCTCTCTTCTCTCTCCATTTTAATTTCATCATCCATGTAGGTGAACTTTTTCTTTCTCCTGAACATCGTACGTGTTTTAATCACCAAGTTGAAGGAGACCCACTGCGCTGAGTCCACAGCCTACATGAAGGCGGTGAGAGCCACGCTCATCCTCATCCCTCTGCTGGGAGTCCAGTACATCCTGTTACCATGGAGACCCGAGGGACGCATCAGCCGGGCCATCTATGACTTCTTTGTCAATATTTTCTGCCACTTCCAGGTACAGGCAACAATACACTGCAATTTAAAGTTCGCACAAGCTGCTGAACAGAGACTCATGTGATGTATCGAAAAAACTTCTATGGTGATGTTAAACATAATTCATTTGACATTAATAATCTGCATGTTTCTTTTAAGATTTTACATTTTCTGTACCAAACATATATGAAGACCAACATGGGAACTATAATAATGATGGCAAATGAGAAAAATGGTCTCCTTCCAATTCCAACTAAAGTGGAGTACATAAGCAATGGAACAAAATATGTTCCGAACAATTTATACACAAATAGTTGTATTAAATCTGGCATTCAACTCTTTCCATTTTCATTAAGCAACATCAAACTAAAAAGCACTTTAAACAGATTCCACTAAAGAATTTTGCTACATTTGTATCCCCTCTCTCTCCTCTTTTCCTGTCAATGTTCAGCTGTCATATCTATTGCCAGACAGGGACTACAGAGGAAAAATAGCCTCTTGGCTAACACTGGCACATTTACAGAAATGTTGATTAATGTGCACTTTCCCTGTTAAAATAAATACATTTTTAAAAGTTTTTTAAAAAAGGCAAAAAATGGTAATCATTTTGGCTTCTTTCTGAGGGAAATATGATCTTCAGCTGCTGTGTATTATCATTAATAAAACAGCTTTCTAGAAACATTATCTTATTTGCTTCTTCTTTGTCAAATTAAACCTGATGATTCATAAACATTTATTATTTACAGGATAATCTCACTGACATCTGTTCCTGTATGAATATTTAACCACTGTCCCATTGCTTTGCAGGGACTCCTGGTGGCAATTATATTCTGTTTCTGCAATACTGAGGTACATTAAAAGGGATCATACAATGAATACAAGATCATGTTAATATTTATATTCAAGATACTGCATGTAACCTCTAATTACTAAAACGTAAACTAAACTAAAACCAAACTCTTGACAACCAGGCCCAGACAGCGCTGCGGAGGAAGTGGCATCAGTGGAAGTCTGCCTGGGGTAAAACCGGCTGGGGAGACACGCCCATGAGCCACAACCACTTCAACCACCACAACAACTCCTCCTTCACCGAAACCAGCCGCGCCACCATCAGCTTGGAGGACGCTGCGAATTCGAAACGAGACGAAAACAGCCACTTCCTGTCCCTGGAGCAGGAGAAAGCCAACGGGCAGCAGAAGACAAGCAGCAACGGAGAGGCGGACATGCTCAACAAGTTGGAGACCACCGACATCTGACCGGAGAAAGGTGGTGGTGGTGCCAAACACAAACACACAGTCACAAAAGATAAAGGACTTGGGTGTATTTTCAAAATAAAGGTTAACTGATTGGGAAATTATCAGTAAAGCACTTAAAAAAAAGCATGTGATGTTCACAAACACATATTTGTTATAACTCCAGTTTATGGACACTAATGAGCTGATCAGAAAAATATATATTTATATCATGGTGTCACCCTGTAATCTTAGCATAGTTTTTGCATACATGTGTTTTGTTCTGTGGCTGGGATGAAGTCCACTTATGTATTTGATTTATTGTTGAACTTATTTCCTCTTAAATTTCAAATCCAAAAACTGCCATTTTGAAAGGACAAATGCATTCATGTTTGTGTTGCATTGCAGTATGGAGCTTTTGAATGCTTTACCTGTGAACCACTGAGACCAATGAATGTCATAGCCAACCGATATGATATGTTCCTTCACATGCTTAACCTAGAAAATATAATCTAATCATTACTGGACTGCGTCAAAAAGGCCAGCATTCACAATTAGCTAGCATTAGCTAAAGCTAAAATTGCATTTACCATATTTTACTGATATTTCCAAGCTGTTATCTGAAGCTAACACATGTCAATTTTGTCAAACCCAGTTATTCCATATAACTAAATGATACAGTAGTAAATTCCATTAATGATGGAGAAAACATTTATGCTAATATTAACTCTAACTGAGTTAAGCAAAATAGTGATAGCTATCATCTCAGCGTAGAACTCTGATGGAATTCATGTTATTTGTTGAAGTTAAGTTTCTTTAAAATAAGGTTTTTGTTTTGAAATGTATTAAATTGTAAAGATATTAATTATTTTGGTTTTAATATCAACATTAATTGGAGGAACTCAAACTGACAGACCAGCCCTTTTTCCTACAAAATGATGTTCCCATAGACCCAAAATGCCATATTATTATGAGGTAAACATTGTTTCTCCTGCGTTACGGTTGCAGTTTTAAACACGTAGTTAAAGTTAACCAAACAAATGTGCAAAAAAAACAACTTGGTTAGTTTTAGTAAAATAAGTAATAAAGTAATTATTCATGTGCCAAATTAAAACTGTTCTTTTATGGCTGATAAACAGACTCCATCTGAACACTGAACGTAGCTACTAAGATGAAAGGGCTTCTGACTTTCATGGTTTTTATACCAATCTCTATTAAATCTCTCCTTAGTATAACATATTGGCTACATGACAGCTCAACTTGGAAAAAGCCTTTCTCTTTATATATCCGTAGTGTGTAGCTCATTTTGCGCCTCCTTTTATCCCAACTGATTTACTTCCTGGAACTAAAGGATGTGCTGAACATTTTTGGTTAAAACTCTCCTAATTCAAACTAGAAGAAAGCTTTAAGTGCAAGATAATTACCAGTGTAGAGATAATAGAGCTCTTAAGTGCTGCAATAATTTCTCCAATTTTACTCCTTCACTTAGTTCACTAACAACATAGGGTTTTGGGGGATTTTGGCCAAAAAGTAGAGCACATACAATAGATTTAGAAACACTATGATGTGTGAAATATTGTTTGCGAGCAGTGTGTTCACATTTGCTTTTTCAGGCAGTCCCTCCAGCTTTGTGACAATTAGTTGGGGAAAAGTTTCTTATTTAATTTCCAACAATCTTCACTTCTATTAAATGTTTTTTTCATGATGGTAAATTGTAAGATGTGACAGAGCTACACATCTAAAATACCTTTTAAAAATGTTTCAAATCTAAATGTTGCAGACAGAAGACTGTGCCAAATTAGTAATACAATTAATTGTTCAGAACATTTCGCTTTCTTAATGCTTTGTCATGTTTTATATTACTATTTTGGCTGTTAAATTAGTCTGTTTCACTATTTCTAATTATTGTTACAATATTATCTTTTGCAAATACAATTCACTGCCACTTCAAAAATAGATATGATTTCATAGTTTTTTCATCACACATGTACCGTGCTGTATGTACACTAGCCTTTTCAGTTTCCACTGGAATACTGGGCAAGTCTTATTTTTGGCTGTACAGTATGATTGTAGCAAATGCATCCACATGTCACAACCATAGGTCACAACAGACTTTCGGGAAACAATTGTTCCAGTGTGGTCACAAAGAGCTACACTCATGCATGGGAAAACAATTGTGGTAAGAAAACAGCTGAGTATGAGAGAAGACTTTAAAAAAAGGGATACACTGTACACTTTAGCCTATGTGGCCCTGTAGGCAAACATCTGTTATGGACATATTTGTAAAGAATTTGAAAAAAACATTCCAATAAAACAAAAGTAATGTTCAATTCAAGCATATTACTGTATATATATATTTTTAACTCTGCCATTTATGTGTGGAAATAAAATTGTTTGAACATAAACCTGTGTCTTTCAGAATGATCGTTTAATATTTGCCACAAAATTATGTTCCAAGGTTGATAATTGTCTCAGTTACAGTACTTTAGGCTATTGCACTTACCACTGCTGCTTCATTGTTTCACACATAGAGAAGATAAATAATTGGAATAAGTAGAAAGGTCACTTGAGGTCAGTATAATCTTTTACAAGGTTTTATGAGAAACATTGTGTAGTAGGCTGTGTATCATCATCATCGGATTATCGGCAGTGCAAGCTCTTTAGGTGGTGTACAGATGTAGCTTCTATTTATTAGCTTTTGGTCCAAACCTTCTCATAAGTAATTGTGCAGTACATTATTGATATGTCGTTTCACATAAACCGGAAAAAAAGGATAGTCCCACCGAGATTTGAACTCGGATCGCTGGATTCAAAGTCCAGAGTGCTAACCATTACACCATGGGACCAGATGGTATCGTCAGGATGGCCTGTCACATTATAATGTTATAACTATTTTAAACCCTCACATGGCACGTACTTGTATTATATATGTTGTACACCTGCTTATACTCCGGGGTAAAACGCCGCAACTATAAGTACAATAGGGATATTAGCTAACGTGGGCCAGTGCACCATCTGGAACCCTCGTTACATAACCAGAGTCTAGCTTAGCATGATTAAGGTTAGCGCCCCATATGTGGCTGCGTAAATACAATAGGCCTAAGTTAAACAAAACAAAAAAGGTGCGAGGTGAATGTAGACCAATATTGTACCTAACTCAGTCTCTTACTGCAACATCGCAGTTAACTTAACCATCCTGGAACCTAAATAAGTAACTAACGTTGATGTTGAGGACATGCACGTATAAGTATCCAAAACGTTGACGTACAAAGAGAGTATGAGAGCACGACGAGATAAGAGTATAGCCTACCCATGAACAGTAATAAACCACGGTAACGTTGAGCTTTTATTATATTTTAAGTGATTGGCAAATATAAGCCTACTTGTGTAAACGCTTTTGACAATTTATGTAACGTAACTAAGTACATTTACTCAGTACTTGTATTTTAAATGAGTATTTAGATGTTATGCTACTTTGAAGGACTGAAGTTACTCCAATAAATTGTGAGAGGGAAACGCAAGAACTTTTACTCAGCGTCACTGCATGTCTGTGACAACTAACGTCACTCATTATTTTCTTTGCCAGTAAAGTTAATAATTTCATACATAACAGGCCCAGTACAACTTAAGTTTAGTATACAAGCGTTTAGGTTTCTACAAACCATATTAAGGTTGTATTATCTTGGGTATACTTTTGTATCTTTGCAAGAGTTATAGACAGGGGTGCACATAACTTTTTTGCCCTGGTTCTCAAAGGAGCACCTGGAGATGTTGCTTGGTGCGCATCCTTAAAATGAAATGAACTGGACCTTTTGAGGGGTACTTGACGTTATGAAGGGGGGGGGGGGGGGGGGGGGGGGTGGGGGGGGGGGGGGGGTGCGCTAGTGAGCACGCAGCAGGGTTACTGTGCGGAGCGCATACAGCAGACCCTTCACGCGATAGCGAGGGGTAGAGCGAGGGATCGCAGATGCCGTCGTGCTCGCGGTCGGATTAAAACAATTAAACTTAAATAGCTCGCGAATCATACTTTGGCAGCCGGTAATATACATGGGCGGCCCGAGTTGAGTACAGTTAGAACGATATTGGCAGATTCGGATTTCACGGATCAATAACTCATGAACAAAACGTTATTCAGACACAAATGACGTCTCCTATGTACCGTGGTAAGGTTGACAACGAACTACAATCACATGTTGATCAAAAAAAGCCAATATGCGCCGTCCTCCGAGCTGAACACATTAAATTGGTCTCTTTCAGCAGCCGGAGAAGAAACAAGTGCTCAGGGACCGTCTGCAAAGTGCAACTCCGAAAAAAGAAAATACAATAATATTCAATAACGTCACTATTATACAGTATATTTCTACCAAACTCACTACACACATCAATAGTCTCCTGGTGGTCGGACTACAGCAGAGAGTTAGGAAGAATATGGTTTGGAATAATTTTGGTGAATATTTATAGTGTATAATCTTCAATAAATATGGTATAATCTTCAATAGCGTCACTATTATGCAGTGGAGTGCTACCAAACTCACTACACACATCAATAGTCTCCTGGTGGTTGGACTACAGCAGAGGGGGGGGGGGGGGGTCTAAGCATGCTCATGAACTGTCAACGGGGGGGGGGGGGGGGGGGGGGGGGGGGCAGTTCACATGCGCCGTGTTATGCATGGCTGCTGCACCTCGCGGGAGCGTGCACAGCGTAAAGCCAAAACTCACAGACATTTCAATGATTTGTACGGCACAGTTAGGTTTGGAAACGGTATCATTTTCTTTTTTGGAGGGCATGCATAACACGGCATAACACCGGAGCCTCGCTGCGGGGAAATTTTGGCGTTGTTCCGAGTTTGTTCTAATCTGTCAAAATGACGGACTTCTTTCAGATTTGTCCGTCATTGTTAAAAAAAATCCGTCATATACGGAAAATATTCTGTTAACGCGACCTCTGGAGCGCACATAGCCTACGGGTACTTCTCAGGCATGCTGTGTAATCTGTGACGTTTCACTCTCTGAAAAATTGGGCCATTTTGTCATCCATGCGCCAATGAGCAACTCTCATAGGAATGAATAAGGCCCCGCCTTCCACGCTGTATCCAGTCCTTATTATACATCCATGGTCACAACCGTAAGCGACCTGTTATCATTCAGGAAATGACAGCGAAGCTTCTGGGGTGTTTTCTGGCATTTATTCTGAGAATGAACACAACATTCTCTTTACATCCGCGTTGCCACATCTCCACATAACTGCAACAAACTGCAGAGCCTCCCCTGTCATACTCCAATGTAACGGAAAAACAACTAAAGAAAAACTAAATAGTAATAATAATAAAATGTCTCCACTGATCTGTTTTGGAAATGTGATTTATGTATGATTCCAATCGCTTTTTACAGTCAAAATTAGCAAATTTGCCGAATTCCGCTACAACTACGGGTAGCGATGAGAAGTGAGGCAGGGACGAGCTCTGCCTCTCGTAAGCCCACAGTAACTGGCTGGAGCGCGGGCACTAATTTCCCGCGGGCACTTATTTTGTGAGCGCGCTCAAGCCAGTTACTGTGGGGCAGAGTCCTGCATCGGGTCGGGTACCCGACGGGTGACCCGCAAAAAAGGTGATTCGCGGGTGGTATTTTTTCAAAATCTTTTTTCCGGGTTCGGTTCTGGGTAAAACAAAGATGATGCGGGTCGGGTCGCGGGTATTGCATAATAAATATATTAAAATAATAATAAATTAGTTTAATGTTTAAAATCCTCAGACCTCTCCCCCGCGGGACCGCGCATAATCATAACCTCTGCAGCGCATCAATCTGCTGCTGTGCGCGCCACATTCGAAATGGCTGAGGTGAAGCTCTCTAGCGGAGAATACAGCATTTTCAATAACACTTCCTCAAGAGCGAAATCCAACGTCTGGGAGGCTTTTTGTGTCATCCTAGACCTAGATGGAGGAAATAACCAACATCCCACGCTTTCTGAGACAAATATGAAACTGCGTGTGTTAATAATTGCACGTTTTCACTGCTCATAGGCTATGCGGGTTCGGGTCGGGTTGCGGATCTTGTGCCGACGGGTCGGGTCGGGTTGCGGAACTAATTGGCAATATGTGCGGGTAGCGGGGCGGGTTCGGTATTGCACGTCGCGGGTGCGGGGCGGGAGCGGGTCTTGAAAATCAGACCCGTGCAGGACTCTGCTGTGGGGTCAGGTGAGGCACAGATGAGATCTGCCTCACCTCAGAATGCGTCACCCCACAGAAACTGGCTGGAAAGCGGGCCCTAAGCGCATGCCTGCACCATTTCACTGTATGTCACCAATGTAATGTTTGTAGATCCCTTTATTACATTTATCTTCGCCATCCATAGTCTCTAAATAACTTATTTCACGTATATGATATTTAAGCTCGCTGGTCTCATCATACAACGACAATGAAAAAAGCACCAGGGGAGGCAGCCATAACGTCTGCCGCACTGAAGGGGGCGCAAGTGAGCCCACAGGTTCTTGTTCCTACTGTTATTCTACGCAGAGACGGTAGACGCGACGCAAACAACAAACTAGACTTTTGAAACTAGAGGAAGATAAGGAGGACTTTTACAAAAAAGTAATAGAGATTGTTGTCCAGAAGGATAGCATGGACTTCAAGTCAAGGTAAGACCCCAATTGTAATGAAAATGGGATCTTACTAAGAAAGAACAATCCAATATTTAGATTTTGGGTATCCTTTTGTTGAACGGTCTGTTAAACTAAAAAAGCTTTTGAAAATAACCGAATATGTCGATTATGGTCAAAATATGATATTTGTAAATCTGACTGAAAGAGTCAGTGCCTCACCAGCCATGAACCTCACCGCACGTCACTGCTAGGGCTGTACCCGAATATCCGTTCGTTTGAGTACTATTCGGGTTTCAATTTTGTTATTCGGATATTCGTTTTTTCTTCAGATTGAATTTATTGAAAACTCCAATATCAACGTAAGAGCTTGTGCCTCTTCGGGGGGTGCTGATAACACTTAACCATAAACGTTATCGTTTACTTTCTCCGTCTTTATATGTAGATATTACTTTTCTCCGTTAATCTCCGTCACGTTGTTTCCATAGCAACAACAACTTCCTGTCAACAGCGCTACCTCTCCTTCAAAATAAAAGCATGTCCATGAATAGGAAGCAAAGCCAAATTACACTTAAGACATATACAACTGCAACGAAAGTAACAAACACAATGCGATATCCTTTTCAATTTCAAAGAACACAAATTGGGTTGTATTAACAAATAACTATAAAACAACAATAGGCCTACTGTAGAATAACCAAATGAATGCCGTGAATACACCGAAATACACATGTTGAAGCGGTTCGCTGCTGATTTGCTCCCATTTTTCACAATTTAAATAACAATTCTAAGACTTATTTCTGTGCACAG